TTTATCCTAAAGGTTGTATGTAAGTATAATTTTCACACATATATGATCCATTTGTTGTTAATTTTTGTTTATGGGATTTGGTATGCAGTAAAGTTTACTTTCATTCTGTGAAAAAAAAAAAAGTGGCACGTGACTTCTATACTCAAGAGGCAGCCTGAGCTGCATGACAATTTTGAGGATGAGAGGCTAGAAACAGGGTTTAGATATATGCTAAGTGCTCATATAGTTATAGACATTTGTATAGACACCCAACTAAAATTTTACTTTTAACTTCAAGATATTTATTTTTGCAGAAACTAAGTTTACTGCTCCCCCCCTTTCCTTTTAAGTGTATGGTAATTGTTACTGTTAAGTGTATGTAATCTGCTCTGTTACATGAGTCTTTTAGTTTCCTTCCTTCCTTCCTTCCTTCCTTCCTTCCTTCCTTCCTTCCTTCCTTCCTTCCTTTCTTCCTTCCTTCCTTCTTCCTTCTCTCTCTCTCTCTCTCTTCCTCTTCCTTCCACACTACCTATTTACTTATCTATCATATCTATCTATCCATCTTTATATCTATCTATATCTTTCTTCCTTTCACCCTACCTACCTACCTACCTACCTATCTACTTATTTATCTAGCTTCCCAGCCAATATCTTGCAGTCAACTCAGATTAGCTTTTATTCACAATTCTCCTGATGTTGGGGATAAAGTCATGTTCTATTTACTTCTATTCTTTAACAGATAAATTGCTCTTGGATTTCTCTTTACTCCACTTGTTCATGTGGTAGAGTGTACTGTGGGCATGATCTTACATTTTGTGGAATCCCTGTAGACATTAGAAATGGCTTTATTACTGTAAGGTCTGCTAGTACTGTGTCTTCCATCAGCTAGGAGTTTTTGGCTACAATCAAAAAATAAGTAAAGAAACCAAAATTTTTGAGAACCTTATACAATTAAAGACCGTAATGGCTAAAAGAACAGAAATCACAACAGCTCGGAGGATTTGTTTGTAGGCACTGAATACATACACACATACGTACATAAATGTGCGCACACACATACATATTTATTTTACATTTTTAATTTTTGGCTCAATTATCATTTTAGTCAAAGTAGTAACCATTTTATTCTTGTTTTTCTTTGTTAGGTTTTTGAATACAGGATTGATTTCTTTGTATATTTTGGACAGAATTTTCTTTAATAATTATTGTAATCTCAGCTCTTTATGTTTTTGGAGTTAATTAATTGCCATTGAAGTTGATTTTATTTCAAAATAATTTTATTGTCTGTGTTTAACATGTTATAAGGTACATACATAGTATATGTCTTACTTATTGAGATAAATTAACACACCAGTCATTTTGAGTAGCTACCCAGATACCTAATCTTAGGTCAATAGGCGCCTCATGAAGTTGAGACCTAAAATATTTTTACTTTACTTCATTAATTTTTCCTTCCTTGGTTTCTGACATACTTGTATGTTTTCTACTCCGGATCTGGAACACCATTTCTGCAAAGATAAGTGGTTGCTTTTTAAGGCAGTAATATCTAGAAACTGTAACCTGAGCAGTGAAAGTGTTCTCTGGTACAGTGCTTGTTATGTAGCCTAATGTCTCGAGTTCCATTTTGGAACTCACATGATTGAAGGAAAGAACCAACTTAAACAAGCTGTCCTCTACTTGCTGTGGCATTCGGGTACTCAGACACACACAGACAAATACAAACACACCTAGAATAAAGAAATTTTTTTGGAGACAGGGTCTTACTATTATATAGCCCTGGCTCTCCAGGAACTTCCTATGTAGAGAACAGCCTGGCCTTGAACTCCTGGAGATCTACCCACCTTTGTATCCCAGATGGCTTAATTAAAAGTAATTAAAAATGTTCTCCACCATTGAGACTCATCGTCTCTCAGTATTTTAGTAGACAGGGATAGAAATTTCTTTTGAAATGTTAGCTACTATTTTTATACTGCTCTTTCTAGTATAATCCTAAAACTCACAGTTGTTACTTAAATTCTTTGTATTCTAGAAGAAAGAGTTCCTCTGATGCTAAAAAGGAGGGATTGTACACCTAAGCTCATGCCTCATATGCTTCCTTCTTACAAGCACCCTTGTTAAGAGTACTGGCTGTTCCTTTAGAGGACCCAGGTTCAACTCCCAGCACGACGACATGGCAGCCCACAACTGTCTGTAACTGCAGTTTGAAGGGATTCCTAAGGAATGTATGTGATGAACATAGATGTTCATGCATAATGCAGTATAAGCTTAAATGATATTCATTGACTTGAAGTAGACAAAACATTTTATTTTCATTTCCCCAAGATCATGATTCTTATGCATAATTGAAGAATGTGAGCCGTATACCATTCAAAATATATTTTTGTATCCTAATTAATTGATTTATTGGTAGGGGAAATTAAAAGGGATATGTTTTGCCTATTTCTAAAGGTTGCCATTTATCTTTTTATTTTGTTTTTTAATGAGCATTGCTGTTTGCTTTGGTTGATCTGAAACTGCTGGGCTCAAGTAATTGACCTGTGCCTCATCTTAGGTAGTAGCTAAAACGATAGGCAGGCTTCACTGTGTCCTGCTTGGCTTTCATTTTATTTTTGACAGAAATTAGTTTTGCTTAGTTATAAATAACTGTTCTGTTTGTCTTCATTTTGGTTTCTCTTTTCTGACTCTACACTGCCATAAATTAAAGTAGTCATTAAAAAGCTTAGTAGAATAGGTAGGTGCTTGAGTAATTAATACTGTATTTTGTATTATCTGGGATCTGATTTTTTCTTTAATTCTTTTTTTGGTATTTCATTTACTTATGTTTTGTGTGTATGTGTGTGGATGCAAGTGGCTTGTTCACACCTGCAGTGTCCAGAGGACAACTTGTGGGAGTCAGTCTTCTTTTTCACTCTATGGGTACCTGGGAAAAGGGCATGTTAGAGTCTTTGGTTTCTTTGTTCTTGAGACATGGTCTCTGTAGCTCTTGCTGACCTGGAACTTGCTGTGTAGACCAGACTGGCCTTGAACTCACTGAAATCCACCTGCTTCTGCCTGGGAGTAAAGGTGTGCACTACCACACTTGGATAGACTTAATCTTAATCAGATGAGTTGGCTTTGACCCTACTACAGATCAGTTAGTTGATAACTGGCATAGTGAGTAAGTATATGCATATAAGTGTATATATGTTTGTCTGCTAAAATTACCCTCTGTGAACTTTCTAAATGTCACTTGTTTACTATTACAGACGTAACCCAGGGCCCAAAACAGCAGGGCACAAAGTTTAAAAATTAAAGTTAACCATTCACTAATATTTGCAGAGGGGAAGAGAAAACAACCAGGGGACCAAATGACCTTTTCTTTCCCCTTTTCTTCTTTATACCTAACACCTAATGACATATGCTAGTGACAGAAAAATGGCCATGAAATCTGTGGGCCCTGCCAAAGAGAATAAGCAGAGAATGGGATAAGTCATTTTGTTTGGCTTTGTAGACCTGTTAGCTTCTGTCATAAGTGAAGTACGTAGCAGAAGAGCATAGTGGATAAGAGCATGATTTCTGAGGTGGAAGCCTTTCACTAGCCTTGTGATTTTATGTTTTTAAGCTCTCTCATGAGTCTTTTCTATCTTTTAGTGTTACAAGCACTCTATGGAGTAAATGGTACTTTAGAACAGTACAAGGTATATTGCTTCCACAGTCAGTAAACAGTGTGTGGTGTTGTCACTGAGATAATTATTGTAGACTTTTCTGGAACTAGGTATTAATGAAGTTCCAATTAGGATGTATGTGCTTATGCATATTATGTGCATGGAAGAGATTAGTGAAAACATGAATTAATTTAGTTGTTGTAGAATTTCATTACGTGTAATTTTATCCCAAACTACTGCTATAAATACTGAAGTTTGCATTTTCTTTCTGAAATGTCTATTAATACTTTTGTGTTACACAGTTGACTCTGTAATATTTCCTTTGCTCGAGTCCATATAGTTATTTTAAAGCATTTCTTATATTCAAAAATTTCATAATACTGAGGTAAAGAAGATACAACTAATAACTGGGGAGATATTTAAATAGCAGCTTATAAATTTAACATTTATATTGTTGAAAATGAAATGTGAAAACAAATTAATAATAGAACTTTATTGTAAAATCAGGTTTGGTTGTTTTCTTAGTTAGAATTCTGCTGTTTAACCTAAGACTGATTTGCCTTGAACTCTCATTCCTCATACCTCATTTTTCAAGTGCTGAAGCTATGGAAGTATATGCTACCCTGAAGGTGGAAACACAGACTTTTGACATTAAGAACTTGACTAGTTTAATCTCCTCTGGGACTCAGAACACCATCATCTTATCATTATTTTTCAAGTCATTTATGAGTAATGTAGAAATGATTTTAAGTTGATACCTCAGAAAAAGCACTTAAGTGTTTTTAAGAATTCTGTTCTTCATAAGTCAGTATTTTAAACCAAGTAATCATATACTATTACAGTTTTTAAATGTCACTTGAGAGTTCTGTTTTTGTTTACATACCTGTGCATGAATACTCACAAACATCATGTTTCCCCTTTTCTTTTTAAATTTCTGTGGTGTAAACTAGAGGGAATTAGTATACTAACAGAGTCCCTGTCTTTCATTACTGAAGTGGTTTGGTGTTATCCTTTTCTGCATGTCTTTTTTTTTTTTTTTTGGTAGTAATACTGGTCACTCTATAATTACATACATTAAATTAAGTGAAAAATAATTGTTAGACAAAAGCTGGTGGATATTTCATAGCTGATTAAGTAGAATCATTTGATGTGGAATAGAGTACTTAGGCTTCTGATTTTAAAATGGGAGATAGATTTAATGTAAGTAGAACTGAGTGTGTTACTAACATATAAAACCTTTTGTGCTTCTGGCAATTTATTTTTTCATAATAGAATCAGTGCTAAGAATGGCTTAATTCTGGTAAGGAGATATTCGTATTTAATTAAAATTAACAAATTTACTCAGATATTAAAACATTATTTTAAAGTTAGTGGGCTTGTGTTTATTGATGTTAAAATTCATGATAGGGCCAAGCAAAATATGAGAACATTTGTATAACATTCAGTTCAGGGTTTTGTTGTTTACCTTTTAAAGACTAATAGTACCTTGATAAAAGTGCATTAAGTATATTGTCCATTCTAAAAGCAAATGGTTATCAAACATGTGTAGCTTTCTCCCCATTCCTCCCTAAATGTTTTTTAATTGGTGATGCAGAATATTTGTCATCTATCAAAGTAAAAACCATAGGTTTGTAAACTTGGCAGTGAGAGAAGAAATAGGTGCCATAAAATGATTAAGTGTTGGCTTATGTACACCTGCTCTCAGGAAATAAACTTTCCCCAAATGTTGCTGTTTGGTAGACATACATCTTAAAAAAATATATTGAATGAAATTACTACCTGTATCTTCTTTTTTCAACAACACGTCATTGTGCTTTTAAATGTTACTGTTGTTTCAGCTAGAGGAACATGACTCTGTTTTACAGATATACTTGAAGTCAGGTATAGTTGAGGTTAAATAAAAACACTCTCTGAGAATGTAATATTTGTCTAACTGCAAATTCCTTGAAATACTGGTTTGGCACTTAATTCCAATGAGAAAACAAAAGTTATCTATTTTGATACCTTTAATAATTCATTTTATAAAAACTTGAGCCTGAGACACATTAATTTTTCACATTTATCACATCATGTCGAAATAATTTCCCCAGTATAGATGAGTATTAATAAAAGAAATTAAAATAATTATCAGTTATTTTTAAAAGTAAATTTTTGAATGAGAATTGCATTGCTGAAAACACCTGAATGCTATAAATAATGTTATGGAATAACTTAACTAAATCTTATTGCATGTAATATAAAGTTTTAGAACTCTAGAGTTAGGTCAGAAAATTTGTTCTTTGCACAATTACAAAGTTTCCTTAAAATCAGTAGTACTGTCTTATTTACATTTCATTAGGTGAGATTGAAAGTAAATCTAGGAGTCTTTTTGACTATCTTCATTTCTTAAATTAAGATTTATGTAGAAAATGTATACGGATACATTGTATCAGTCCCTAATGTAAGACTTGAACCATTTATGTATGCATGCGTATTATTGCATGTTAATACAGAGAATCCCCTTATACAGTTATTTAAAGAGACTCTTTTGGGATATGTTTTTGTCATAATTTGAAATTTTATGAATTATCTTATTCAGAAATTAAAAAAATAGTTTCTAATTCCTTTATGTGATGAGTTGAACTAAAACTTTTTCTATGTATATAATCAAGTGTTTAACTATACATGCTTTAAGCAATATATACAGATTGCACATTTGAACAAAAATAGTCTTTTAGTGTATTTTGCGGTGCCGATACCTGCCTGCCTTTTCCTTTGCTGCGTTGGCACAGGCATTGTGCTTATTTTGTTGTAAATGGTTCCAGTATTTTATCAGTTCACTAGGCTGGAACTGATGAGAGGTAATTAGGTGGCTGTATTTACAGCTTGAATAAGAAACTCGCCAGTGATTGAACACGAATTCATTGGGAGGGGGCACAGGATCAATTCTCAACTTAGCAAGACAGATTCCTACATAGACATCTTCCAAGTGCAAACGACGGATACCTAAAGAAACCTTAAATATCTTTTCTGCCAGATCTCCCGAAAAAACATAACCAGTTCCTGAGCAGAAGACAGGGTAGCGCTCACTTGGGTAAAGGTCTGGTGGCATGTACCACTTGCTGTCTTTGTTTCTGTTAGGAGCATATCCTCTCATTAGATACCCAGTAAAATAGTTGTGTCTGGGAGGCAGGTCTGGCTTTAGTAACTTGTGTATTAAGTATTCAGTGTTGACAAACATGTCACTGTCTGTTTTCATAACATATGGAATATGTGGACAGTATGTTGCAACCCAGTTCATACCCATTAGTGTTTTAATGGTCAGGTTATAGTATGTATCTAAGTACTCCTGTTGAATTATATCATGATACTGTCTGCTTTCTTCTAGAATTGCATGTTGAAGATAGCCATTTAGCTTAATATTTATGCCCAAAAGAAAAATCCGTGTGATTTCGATACCAGGTGCTAAAGTTTCATTGCCCCAAGTTTGCCGGATAGCTCGTCTTGCTTCTATTTGTCCAGGTTCTGCAGCTATTAATAGTATTAAAAATGGACTTTTTTCTTGGCATTTTTCAGGCTCATTGATAATGTATTTGAAATGGTAAGAGTTTGCATGTCCAGTACCTTTTTCATTGTAAATACTTCCATTGGCACTGAGTGTGTTCTCTAGTCCTGTAACTCCTTGTGGTGATAAGTCTGTGTTATTGGAGTTAGTTGCTGTCTGAGGCCTCAAAGTCTGAGGAACTGTTTCTTTCCAAATGTTCCGAAGGGAGCTGTGATTTGTCTCACTTTTTGTAGAACGAAATCCTCGGAAAGTGTATGTCACAGGGTTTTCTTTGAATCCAGGTCTTCCCGGTAGCCAGTCATGATGATTGAAAAAGAGAAACATAGCAAAAAGAAACACTAGGGAGAGTATACCCATAAGGTGGGTCCGGAACAGAGACCTTTTAGCATTCCATTTTGCAAAGCAGCAGTGTCTTCTCCTCCACTGAAGCATGTTGTAATATCCAGTGATAGTGAAGGATATATGTGGCCAAAAATGCTGTTGTTTTTCTCCTCAATCAGTACTGTTCTTCGGTCATCATTTTCTGGTTAGTTACGTGTCCCTCGAAGTCATTCTATAAAGATGAAGCATAATGGTTTACAAAATGCAAAATTTTACAAACTGCCTTAAAAGGGCTCTGGGTGCTAATAAAAAGACACTTTAAGCTGAGAAAAATAGGATAAACCAGAAAAAGAACATATAATAGTTTCATTTTGGCAACATAAAATCATTGACAAGGTTTATTTCTTTAAAAATATTCTTGTAGCTCAGTGAGTACTTGAAAGATAAGTGATAGATTAATTTTATTTTACTCACGTGATGAGATGAGTAGCTCTGGTCAACTTTTCTGTTAATATAAGGTAAAGATTTTTAAAGTTGTGCCATGTAGAAAGGAAAAATGATTTTAGATTACTGACAAAACACCTGTAAGGCGGCCTTCAGAACAGATGGCAAATTTATTGACACTAATTAAAATTGATTTGACATACTATGGCGGTATGGTGCACAGTCAGTGGCCTTTTCTGGAAAATGGTCATGTATTGGTTGTGGGACAGACGGTGCAGATTTGATTGTGGCAGAGTTCAGTTAGTCACAGTACACTGAGTGGCGTGTTTCCAGTGGCCCCACTATGTTGAGAAAGTCAGTGAGAAGATACACCTGTCAAAATTAATTTTCAGGCTCTAGTAATTGCAGTGTGCGATTTTAGATAGTAATAAATGATTAACATTTTAAAGCACTTTGCTATTTTTTCTATCCACCTCAAATAGAATGTATCCAGGAGATCAGTCTTATCAGTAATTTTGGCAAAAGGCCATGCATTTTTGCAGTTTTTCTGGACTTCTTGAAAAATATAGGCAACAGACCCTCTTGTTTTAGATTGCTTTAAAACTCATTTTCCACAAAATAAGTTTTAAAATATTCTTGAATTATGCTTGATGCATAAATCATTTTAAAATTTAAGTCTTTGTAAGTTGCTTAACACAGTCCTAGATCTTTCAAAAGTTACAAGCTGGTCAAAAGAAATTAATGATGCCACTTAGTGAAAACTGGCTGTTGTTTTTTGGCAAGAGGCTTTTCAGCATAGCACAAACTTATTAGTATTTGTTAATTGTTTTTTTTTCTTTTTTTCTATTCTTAGATGCTTCTAGATGAAGAAATGAGGTCATAGATGTAGTTTGAATTCTAAAGAAGATTTTGAGAAGTAGAGACAATATCGAGTTTTGATTTTTTTCACTTTTTTAAAAACAAAACTCAAAACTAGAAGTCACATATTAAATCATTAATTCTGAGACTGGCAATATTAAATTTGTGTGCTCAAGAAGTGATTGTTTTCAATTATTCACTGAAATAATTAAAAAAAAGGAAATACAAATTTAACATAGCCACTTATTTCAAATTATGTATGTGTAATGCATGTGCTTATTTATGATAATGATCTTATTGATGGCATTTTGGTTTAATATTGAAACAAGTGCTATTTAACAGGTAATAGAATTTACACGTAAGTCCTCAAAAAATTGAGTAGTTGTAGCATAAAATTTACACACATACCTTTCTTTCAATTACTGCTTGAAAGTATTAGGTAGTTATGAATGAAATACTATTCTAGTAGCAACCACTAGGAGGAGCAAGTAGGTGGGAATTGGAACAAATTTCTAATGTGTAACGGGCTTTAAGGGTTGATCTTGTTTCTGAAATTGAAAGGTGCTTTTAGTGATTAGGATATTTTTCAAACCTAAAAAATATTTAATCACTTAGATACATACATATATATTTATATAAACATTGTTTTTTTGAAAAGTCTTAATTTGCTCCTAGTACATGAATTTAAATATTATAGCACTATATAAAGAACCAGAACTATTCTCAGCCTGTGAAACATGGTTCCTATGTGACAGGTGAAAATTACAGAGCTTTATAATGAAATGTAAGGCCTGGTTTAGAAACTTTTTTCCTACCTGTACTTAAAAATTGTTGCCTTTCTATTTAAAGTAGAAACTATTTTAAAGAATGTATTGGAAAATTACATTTTGTGGTAGATAATAATGACATACTCCCATCTCATAATGAGGCTCGTGGGTATTGAAGGCTTATGTGTGTACATTTAAAAAAGAATTTACTTTGGGAAGTTCATTTGTTCTGTTTCAAGTATTATAAATACTAGCATCTCAGTCTTCTGTTGAAATAACAATGCGTAGAACATGGCTGTGATCCAGTAATTCAGACATTTTAAAAGTGCAAACTTATAGTTGGAAAAGAACTAAATTCAAGGTCAGATATTTAAATGAATGACTAAAAGAACTTAAGGGAATGAAGTATTGCAGTAAGTTACATTGTTTTCAAGAAAAGTGTCCCTGAAGTGGTACAAAGTGTTTTAATATTATAGAAAGCAGATAATTATTTTTTATTATAACAACATACATTCATAATTGGTTTTAGTATGATTTTATAAGATGGAGGTACATTTTAATTTAAATTTAGCGAGAATTGTATGTTTGTAAGTAATATCTAGGAGGGCTTGGAATGTATTTGAGAACATCCCATTAATAAATGAAACTCATACATTTTGGCGTAAATTCTTTGCTAAAGTTTCTCAGATTGGAAATCTCTCTCTCTTTCTCCCTCTCTGTGTATGCTGTTAAAAAGAAAGTAAAAATAACTTGCTCCTTTTGTTACATGATGAAGTTATTCTCAGGTTAATGCCTGTTGTATTTTAGTTCTTGAAAATAAGAACAAGACCAAGAGTTAAGTGTTTTACCATGTCTTTTCATAGTTTTTTAAAAAATAGATCTTTTCTGTTTTGGTTATAATAATCTCTGTGTTTTTATATCTTATAGATTGAAATATGTAAGGATGTTACTATTACATATCCCTCCCCCGCATAGCGTTCCTATCCTTTGACTTTTAAAAGTTCGTATAAATATATTGTTTTTTGAAGCAGTTCCAGATTTAAATGATGCTTTGATAATGTATACTTTTCTTTTGAAATATTTATTTTGTAAGTCTTCTTAATTTCTAATAAAGATACCAAGAGGGGCTGAATTTTAAAACATGTTTTATTTAATAATTTCTGATTTTAATCTTTATTAGAGTAGAGATATTTATTATTGAGAATTGATGTTGATATACAACAAGGTCTAGTATTCTCATCTTAACTTCACAATACAGTGCTTCCATAGATTTGAATTTTTTTGTTTCTTTATGATTGTTAATAGGCTAGTAAGTTTTATGAAAGTGAGAGGAAAAAAGTCAAAATCGTTACTAGGTTTGTAAAATTTTAGGAATATCTTTAAATTCTTTAGCCCTGACTGCTCCTCTACGATTGATTGTCCCCAGGATAGTTTGTCCCTGTCCTGTAGACACAGGTAGAGGCAGAAGGTAGGTTATTATTATATGTAAATAAAGCCTAGAAATCCATTATTAATATTTTGTTGACCTTGTATTATTATTAATTGTTATTTTCATATTAAACTATTTCATGCTAGATTTTTAATTTAACTTTTAATATCTCTAGTAACAGTTTTACACTTGATTATTTAGAATCAGTCTGTTGACTAAAAGCTCCCTGTTTCACTAATGTATTTAGAGTAACTATTGATATCTCTTTGTTTAAAGTTGTATTCATTGATACTGTAATAACATGTGACTGATTACTGTGGTTTGCTATGCTTTGCATAAACTCACTACCGTTTTGGTTTGGTGTTAATGTTTTAACTTGTATCTATCCGAGGAGATAGATAAAGAGAGCAGACACTACTATGAACTGTTAAGATTTTGTTTTGAAAGGATTTTTCCGAAAAGACCTCATGGTTTTAAGATCATATTTGATGCTACTTAATATAAATTTACTGCACTGTCTCTTGATAGCCATTTTAAAGAATACGCTTTAATTTATTAGTTAAGGAAACAATTTGACCTAATTTGCTGGAGACTTTTTTTTAAAGGGCTAGAGATGTTTCTTTTTTTTTTTTTCTGCCTTAGTTTAATTTCTCAGAATCTTTTCAGTATATCTAGATTTTTCTCTTAATTTTTACAATTCTCTAGAATTACTCCCAGCTACATATTTACTTGAATAAAGCAATGAATGACAGCTTATCTCCTAGAAAAGGCAAATTTTAAAATCATATATTTAGAAACCCTTTCACAGTTTCAAGGGCAGTGAAGTGTATGAAGTATTTATCAAGTGTATGAGTGCTTGTAGGGCTATAAAATCATAACACATTTAATGAATATCATACACAAGACAGCGACATACCTTTCTTTCTTGGTCAGGCCATTTAGACGGAGAGGATTATGCCCACTGAAAATACTTTTGGCACGCCATCACTTCAGCAAAAACGATGCTCTCGAACATGCGCACATCCCCCAACAGTCTGCCTCCTGTGATTGCTTTTCACTGTATCCGAAGTGTCCATCTGTCGGGGTGTCCTCAAGTTGTGCTTCTTGTTCGTTTGTGTCCTGATCTTCAGAGATTTCCCCTTGCTTTCATTCTCTCTCTCTCTTTCATTAAACAAAAGAGCTGTAGTTTTCTGTTTTGTTTGGTGCACTGTTGACTCTTTCTGACAGTTGATGCATTGAAGCTCTTTATATCTGCTGTATTCCCGGCTGGACAATGCAGTGCTGTATTCTCTTCTCAGTATCCATATTTCTAGTAGCGCTGAGCTGCAATGTAAAGCAGCAGAGCCGGGGTTTAGTGTTTCAGTTGCATTGGAGGAAAAAAAAAAAAGGCTTTGCCTCTCTTCGTCGTTGTCTGGCAGCTGCAGGAAGGATTTTTTTTTTTTTTTTTTTTTTTTGAGCTGCTTTACTGAGGTTTTAGTCTGTAATGTGAAATCCACGGTTCTTCAGTGCTGCACAGGCAGGCAGCAGTTTAAATGTGGGCTTGACAGATGCTCTCTCTGACAGAGCAGAATTTAACGTCACTGCTTGGCTGAGTCCCACGTGATTGTTTGCATTCATTTTGACTAGAAACCTAAGGTAGGGAAAAGCTTAGAAATCTTGCTATGTGATGCATAACATTTATTCAGAACAAATAGAAATATGATTATGAAATGAAGATTATGTTTTTTAATTTTTATTTGAACTTATGCACAGGCTTTCTAAATATTTTCTGTGTTCAATGGTGGCTTTCATGTTTCTTATAAGCTTTTGTAGAGCAGAAGTAACAAAGCTTTTACATGTAAGTTGCTGTGAACTAATTCTTTCAGTACCTTTCTGCTCTTAGAGTTTGCTAAGTTCTGATTTTCTGGCCTAGGTAAAACTCATTCATTGTTTATTACCTACAACTTAGACTGCCTCCCCGGTTTTTTTTTTTTTTTTGTTTGTTTTATGGTTTGTTTTACAGCTTATCTAAAATACCTTGGATATAGCCTACATTTTTGCAAGATGCAGTTTTCAGTGTTCTTGAAAGTAGTAAATTTAATTTTAAATCACTCTTTTGTTATCAGCATTATTTTTTTAATTTAAAATTGCATGTATCATAGAATTAAATGGATTTTCGTGATGATTGATTACATTTTGACTAAAAACCTTAGAGAAAAGCCTAGAACTTTTGCTTTTCTTGTATAATAGTGTGTATATTTATATATGTTGCACATGTGTATGTAAAACAAGCAGAGTGATGAGCTAAAATCCATTGCTTCCAATAATGTTTACTACTTTAAAACGTGGTTTAGTGAGAAGCCATCAAACAGGTATTATAAACATTAGAGACTCTGACGTCCTTCTCTGGTATATTTATATAGGTGCCTGGACACTTAGACATATTTTTTTCCCTCTACAATAGCTACTGGTGCAGGTATTTTTGCTGTTTGTTTTTAATGGCCATAATTAACATTCTCTTCTGATTCTAGAGACATTAACTACTAGAAATTTATAGTTTTAAAATTTATGCTATATATTTTAGGGGTCTAGACTCTGTTTCATGTATTTCTCACATAGCATCATATGTTATTTCAGGTGAATACAAATCACATTTCCTCTAATAGTGTTAATTTATTTTTCTTCATGTTTTACTTACATTGTGTTTTGTTTGTTTGGGTGCACCCTATGACTTTCTTAGTTTGTGTCTTATATCCCTTAGAAATGTTAGACCAGTGAAAAAGAACAAAGAAAGAGGACTATAAAGGAGAAACCTAAAGCTTAGTTAGAACTTTGTCTTTCCCTAGCTGCATTGTAAGAGGACTGAAACCTGTGTTTCTTAGCATTTGGTTCTTAAAACTCTATACTTTAGTACTCAACTGCCCTCCACCCCCTTTCTCTCTCTTTCTTTCTCTCTCTCTCTCTCACTCTCTCTCTCCTCTCTCTCTCTCTGTGTCTCTCTCTCTTTCTTTTCCTTCCCTTGCCTTGGTAGTTACACAAACTGTAATAGGTAAAGGAATAATGTTTATTGACTCTACTTAAATTATTTTCCCAAAGTAGAAGTGGACTTTTTGCTATCAGTTATTCCTAATAGTGGAGCTTAACTGATGTTAGAGGATGATACAATTATTGTTTATTCCAAATTAGATTGGGTGATAAGTACCTAAGCTGCTATGTAAACGATCTTTCCTTATGATAGTTTATTGTAATATCTATTTTAAAGAGGAGGAACTGGTACCTGTAGTTGTGGAAAAATTAACCTATACACCAGCTAATTACTGATGGGAAAGGGGATTAGTTAAGAATTTTGAAACTGGATTATTTAAAATTTTAAAATCTGAATTACTATAATCTACTCACAGTATTCTGCCTGCAGGTATACCCGCCCGCCAGAAGAGGGCACCAGATCTCATTATAGATGGTTGTGAGCCACTATGTGGTTGCTGGGAATTGAGTTCATGACCTCTGGAAGAGCAGCCGGAGCTCTTAACCTCTGAGCCATCTCTCCAGCCCTGTAATCTACTCTTAAGCATTATACTACATGACTGCTGGAGAAATTGTGAAAGTTTCCCCCAATATTTACATAGTACCGCACGAATCATTAATGGAATACTGAATGTATTTTCAATAAATGTTTATCAACAAACTACTATATGCTAACATGTACATTAAGGAAGAGCTTATTAATTGTTGAGATTATGAGGATGACTGAATAAATTCCTTATCCTTTTTCTAGGTAAGAAAAATAACTATTTTGCAATTATTGTTAATTTTTTTTATTTTTTAAAATATTTATTTATTTACTTACTACATTTGATTTGCTTTGGTATCCCAGCTGTAGCCCCCCTACCTTATCCCTTCCCAATTCCAACCTTTATCCCTCATCTCCTCCCATGCCCCTCCTCAAGTCCACTGGTAGGGGAGGTCCTCCTCCCTTCCCTCTGACCCTAACCTATAAGGTCTCCTCAGGAGTGGCTGCATTGTCTTCCTCTGTTGCCTGGTAAGGCTGCTCCTTCATTAGGGGGAGGTGATCAAAGAGCCAGCCACTGAGTTCATGTCAGAGACAGTCCCTGTTCCTATTATTAGGGAACCCACTTGGAGACTGAGCTTCCATGGGCTATATCTGTGCAGGGGTTCTAAGTTATATCCATGCATGGTGTGTGTTTGGATTATCAGTCTCAGGAAGACCCCTGTGCTCAGAATTTTTGGTTGTGTTGCTCTCCTTGTGGAGCTCCTGTCCCATCCTGGTTTTTCTATCTCCCCCTTCTTTGATAAGATTTCCTGCACTCTGCCCAAAGTTTGGCTATGAGTCAGAGCATCTGCTTTGATACCCTGCTGGGTAGAGTCTTTCAGAGACCCTGTGTGTACTGTTTTCTCCCTCGTCTGAGGTCCGCCCCCTTTGTCTTTCTGAGTGAGGATTGATCATCTTACCCAGGGTCCTCCTTCTTGCTTACCTTCGTTAGGTGTACAGATTTTAGTATGTTTATTTTATATTACATGTCTGATATCCACTTATGAGTGAGTATATACCATGTGTATCTTTTTGCTTCTGGGATACCTCACTCAGGATGATCTTTTCTAGTTCCCACCATTTAAATCTGTCTTTTGGTAATACTGAGAGCATGACTGTGCTAGATAAATTCTCTACTTCTGATCCACATCCTCAGCAATATGTTTTATTTTTATTTTACAGTAATTTATATTTTCATGAGGTACAGTGAGATATTTTATACAATGTATAGTGATCATCCTCAAATACCTGCCCTACACATCACATCTGAAGTGACTGTTTTTGATGTTGAATTGGATTTATTATGGATCTCAATCACTGACGATTTCATAGATAACTCAATATTGATTCACTTTGTGAAAAAAAGTAACTATTTTGCAATTATTGTTAATTTTTTATTTTTTAAAATATTTATTTACTTATTACATTTGATTTGCTTTGTGAAAAAAGCAATTGTGAAAAAAGCTATCCAGATGTTTTTTATTTTTTATTTTAGAAATTTTCTAGATAAGTCTAATAATCTGTAAGGATCTGAAAATTTAAAGAAGGCGTTTGTAATGCTTCCCAGTTCATCATTCCTACTAAATACACAAAAATTATTCTGTTATTCATAGAGTTGCTAGTTCTGAGTGGTTTACATGATATAAACTAGCAGTAACTTTAGGAGTTATCTTTTTACTGGGATAAAGTTCAATCATCTAGTTTTAATTTTGAAAAAGACTGACAAGAAAAGGGGTTAGAACACTTCAAGAACTGAGCTATTGAATAACACAAGAAGGGAGATATACATTCAGTCTTGCCTATTGTGGTCTCCTTTCTGTTTGTACTTTGTAGCTTCTGTACTTGACACTTAAAAAAAATCATTAACAATTTACTCAGTTTGTATCCCGGCTGTGTCCCCCTCCCTGTCTCCTCCCAATCCCACCCTTTCTCCCTCTTCTCCCCTTATGCCCCTCCCCATGTCCACTGATAGGTGAGGTCCTCCTCCCCTTCTCTTTGATCCTAGCCTATTTGGTCTCCTCAGGACTGGCTGCATTGTCTTCCTCTGTGGCCTGGCAAGGCTGCACCCCTCTAGGGGGAGGTGATCAAAGAGCTAGCCACTGACTTCATGCCTGGGACAGCCCCTGCTCCCCTTACTAGGGACCCTTGGGCACCGAGTCTATGGGCTACATCTGACCCTGGTTTTAGGTCCTCTCCAAGCATTGTCTTTGGTTGGGGTATCATTCTGTTTAGGGCCCCCAGGACTCAGTTTTTTTCAGCTCACAACAATAAATACTTTTGCATTTTAGTGCTAGATTTTTGAAATTATTTTCCCCACTTTTATTTGAAACTTACTATTTGACACCAGCATCAGGTTTAATTTTTTTGATGTTCCTTAATGTGCATGAAAGTATTTACTTGGAGCTTATCTTCCCCTCCCCCCCTTTAAATGCAGGCTTTTTCATTGCATTCTTTTGGTTGTTTGATGGCAGTAACTAGGTTTACCCCTTAAAAAATTGCTAATTATAAAATAATTTTTTATGAAGCCCATTAGTTAAATTTGAACTGTTTTATTGTTCTTTGAACTTAGAAAGCATGTATTAGCCTAATTGTAAATTAGCAATCTCAGACCGACCACAAGTGTCACTATTTGCCTGTCTTATTTTTCTTCTTCAGTTTTCACTAAGGTGGAAAACTCAATATTAAGAGTTTTTCTTGACTTGAAAGCAAAGTTAAAATATATCTTTCAGAACTGATTATCAACACCTTTATTTTTATTCATATAATAAACTGTTTTTATGATTCATAAACTAATAATCAACCTAAAGAGAGTGTAATCCTTTAAAATTGTCAGTGATTTGACAGATACATCTTTATGCTTGCATGTTCTTTTTTATCTCAGTGAGTTAGCAGTTTTAGTTAGGTATACCTTTTCTTAATTAAAATTATGGTTGTTGGCCTGTGAAGATGGCTCAGGGAGTTAAGTACTTGCTGTTCAGTCATAATTTCCTGGTTCATATCCTTAGCAT